ACATTGTCAAATGTCTCCTGGGGAACAAACTCCCCTCTAGCTGGGCACCACTGCTCTAGGAATTATTAGTAGATAAGACAGCCTGAAATCCCAGAAAAGCTGTCTGGACCTCCTTGCCAGGACAACCTGGGAATGGGGTGTGGTGCAACCAGAAAGCCAGGATCTGAAACACAAATTCCTCCGGGGGCCAAGGTAATACGAATGAGCAAAGGCAAGGAAGCCTGGGTATAAAACAAGAGGAAGAAGGGGACTACAGTGGACTGGGGAGTATATACTCCATTTAAAGGGAGCGACCACTACCCAAATCCAACTCATTGTATCAGGCAGGAATTTGGGTACAAGGCTGCTAGAACTTTTGCTTCTTCAAGTGAAAGGACACCTCCTGATTTGCAAATGTTGGCCACTAATTTGAAATCATTTAGAACACTATATAGACCAAATAAATCTATGGGTCACCAGTGTGCGGCCTCTACCCAGTGTTGGTTATATGGAGATTTCCTGGGTCCTCCATTCTAGGATGGAACTTCAATTGTCTAGCCTGGAATAGCTATAATTTCTTTATGCAGTCTCCAAACCAATATACTGGACCCCTCTCATGTCTCAATTTTAAGACTAAATTTCTCCCATCTTACCGAAGCCTCACCCTGGATTCAGTGCAGACCTTTGTTTTTATTTTCCCTAATTATGACCTAATTGGTCTCTTCCAATTTGTATCTCTTGAAACCAGGCTGCACCCACTGCCACCCCTGCTCAAGGAGACTCCCTCTCAGCATATCCCAGCTGCTGAAAGCCTGATTCTAGAACCAAAGTTCTAAGAAGGGAAGTAAGTTGACCCTAAAGCCTAGTCGGTTGGACTGGAACATGGTTTTATGACTTGGCCCTATCTCTGACAAGTTCCTGCCCTCAGGTCTGGATTCTGGAAAAGCCTGGGCTTCAGGAATTCAGATCCTGAGGAATCTGGGTAAAAGTACATGTTGAGTGAAAGCATCCAGGAGATACCACAACTTTGCATTTCTATGTGGTAAGGACTTTCCTCCAATCAAAAGATCAGTGTCCTGGTATGGGGATGGGCTCCTTATGCACAAAAAGTATGGGAAATATCATAAAGGAAAAAAAATATTTAACAAAAATCAAAATAAAAATTTTCTGGCCAGGCGTGGTGGCTCACACCTGTAATCCTAGCAGTCTGAGAGGCCGAGATGGGTGGATCATTTGAGCTCAGGAGTTCGAGATTAGCCTGAGCAAGAGCGAGACCCCATCTCTACTAAAAATAGAAAGAAATTAGCTGGACAACTAAAAATATATAGAAAAAAT